GCATGAAACACAAGATAACTCAATTAAAAAAGAAGAGATAAGAATTATAAGAAACAGAAGAAACAAATAAAAATTACAACTGTATGCAGATTGCCAGAGACTAAATCTAAAGGTGCAATTTGAAGGCAAAAGTGTATAAGAATATTACCCACAAAAGCGATCAGAAGCTAGTTTGGAAATGATTATCATATGTGAAACTTACTTTAAAAGAAAAACTTAACAATGTATTTTATCTCAAATGTAATTTTATTGGCAAAAGAAACAAAAATAAAATTAAAAAGAAGCAAATATAATTGTATTGCCAATAGAAACAAAAATCAGACATAATTTAATTTCATCTTCTACACCCTAATTTGTGAAATATTGGAAATAGCCATAGAATTATAAAATGTAGGTTAAAAAATGGAAAAATTAACTGATGTGAGGAAACCTACATTATAACTTGAAATCTACTGTATAAAATAAAATACAGAAAAGAAGAAAAGAAAACAAAAATTTAACCAACAAAATTCTAAATAAGGATGGTTTACAACACTTTTACATAACTGTAGTTTCCACCTGTGTCCTTGTAATTAAAATGAGCAGTCATTGTGAAACACCAACATACACTCTATGGCAGAAAAGTTAAACAGAGTATTCATTATAAGTATACCTAATGAGCTCTGCTAAGGGAATTTCAATTAATAAAAAAAACTTTAAGGATATCAGAGAAACTGCTTTCTGATACTAATATATTACAGTGAATTAGAGGTCTCCAGAAATGTGCACAGATTTCGGAGGGACACACCAAATAATGGAAATGCCTTCAGATCATGCTGACCCTCACAAGCAAAGGGGAGTGTTTGGGCTGTTAATTTGACTGAACATAGACATTAATTGGGGAAAAGGAGGAGACTAAAGAGGGACCCAATGCTCAACGTAGGACAGTAGATTTCTTTCTAGGACAGCACAAGAATTAAACCTAAGCACCTGAAAGACCATTTCTGTGGCATAATAACTTCTCCCCCAACATTTGAATTTGGCTTCCTCCTTGCCTTTGGACCCCTCAATTGTGTTCTCTGTTTCATGAATTTCTACCCACCTGGGTATATAGCTCAAGGCTCTCTCCTTTGCACCAGGGGAGGGTGTCCAAATATAGCTTAAAGGCAAATGTTCATTACAAATTGAATTGACTGTTTGTTGGAATTATCATTGAGAGTATTGATGCTTCTATTCTGGTACCACAGATGGAAGAAATTGAATTTTGACATATAGGTCACATCATTCTATATCTCTGAATTACTGTAAGTACTACAAATTTTAAGTGAAGAGTATATATCACTTCAAGAAAGGAAAGGATTAAAAACTAAAAGAAATGGCTTAAACATTTTCTTCTCTGTAACAAAAACTGCCCAAGTCTTTTTCTTGAAAGCAAGAATCTGAAACTCATTCATGAAGAGAAGAAGTTCCCAGTAGAAATTCTGTGAGAAGAAAAAATTATACAATTAGGAATAATGATTCATTAGAAATTCTGAAGGGTAGCTCTACTCACCCAGGAAGACCAAGTTTCTGTAGTTCTCTAGCATCACATCTCTGTATAAATTCCTCTGAGCAGGTTCCAGGCATTCCCATTCCTCTTCAGACAAATCAATAGCCACATCCCTGAATGTCAACAGTTCCTGAAATAAGAATAGGTAAATTAATAGTACATTGACCATTTGATAATTCACAGAGCTTGTAAGTTTGCTGAAGATGAAGTGAGCATTAGGAGAACTGATTTCTGAGGCACACAACAAATAGTGGAAATGATTTATTATTCAAGAAAATACTTTGTAACAGTGATATTCTCTGTCATCAAACTCTGAGGAGAGAGTGTCACAAGTTCACAAAAAAGTTTTTATACTCCAATTTTATAAAATAAATTGTAAAATTGAGGTAGCAACAGAGAATATACATTTTAATTGTGATTTTATATATCATAAGATAAATTATCTATTTCTCAGAGAAGAAAATTATGGTGGGAAAGTAGGGTGATTCTAAAATTTTAAGTGCACAACCATGAACCAGAGACTTACTAAAATGAGGTTAATGTCTGTGAGCTTTAGGTAGAATAAAATGAATGCCTACAGGACTATGGTCTATTTCAGGACCTCCAGTAATAGAGCCACTGTCTGCATTAAATAAAAGGCAGGCAGAGGCAGCATTCCCCAAAGCAAGCCACAAAAATAAAAATTATTAAGGGGCTGGGGCTGAGGCTCAGTGGTAGAGTGCTTGCCTAGCATGTGTGAAGAAATGGTTTCAATTCTCTGCACCACATAAATAAATAAATAAATAAATAAATAAAGTCCATCTACAAAAAAAATTTAAAAATAAAAAATACTAAGAAAGAAGAGTTTCTTGATCAAACATGAATGTTTATGTAGATTATTTTAAAAATCCTACCAAAACATCTAAAGACAAAGAAAAAAAATTACTTTATAGGGAAAATGTGGCAGACAGCAGTCACACCAAGCAAATAAGGTTAAAAGAGTTGTAGAAAAAAATAGAACAGATTGATACAAAGTGTCAATCAACATAAAAGGACACATCAACATTGCTGTGATATCTGTAGCCAAATCAAAACTAAATGAAATAGGATTTCAGCAGACTTTCCATGGCATTGTAGAGATTGAGTCTCTTCTAATCATTCTGTTCTTTTAGGACTTACTTTATTCTTAGGGGAAATGAATGTGCATTTTATAAAATTTTGTGTATTTATAGATAGTGGAGCATCCAGATGGAATGTAAATAAAACAGGGTTCACTTCTTCAGCAAATCTAATGACCCAGAAACATCCCCAATTGTCGGGAACTAGAAGGAAATTCTCCTTCAAAGATTAGCCTGTCAGCCCCCTGGGAGACATTCTGCCCTGAAGGCATCCTGCAGCTACCTATCCCTGGAACACCCTGCGGTTATCAGGATCATCAGACATCTTGCAGCTGGCAGTTTTACCCACCTACATCCAGCAATTGCGAAGAGCTTCCCCATCCCCAGCATATAAATACCCCTGTGTGAACAATAAAAGTTTGCAGCTTGATCAGAACTTTTGTCTTGCTGTCACCTTTCGTGTCTTTTGTCCCTTCATTCCTCCCCATCTAGGTTCGCTGCCCTCGTTGATGTGTCTGGCACGGGACACCCAATGGGAATCTAAGATACCAAGACAATCCAATGTCCATTTATCAAAAAGAAAACCTTTTGAATCTCGTAGGTCACGTATGCCTGGCCTGGCTTTGATGAAAGTGAAAGAACAGAGGGCTCCTGATAAAGGGGGGACATGTGCACCATATGTTTTAAACAGAGTTCAAGTTGACTGTTGTGAGAAGAAAGTGAAGCAAAGTGGATTTAAACATGATAGACATAATACCGGAACAGTGGAGAAGTAATAGTCTGCATGTTCCATAGTAGTTTGAGAAGAAAATTCAAGTGTGCAAGAATAGCAAGACACCAGAAAACTAAAACTAAAGAGACCCTACAAAGAAATGGTTAAAAATAAAAAGAAAAGAAAGAAAGTCTTAACATAATCCTACTGGAATAGCAGTGGGAAAAGTAGGTTATACAAAACAAAGTAGTACAATCAAGCAAAAATATAAAAAATGATTCTAAGAAATACATGGTAAGATTATGAGCAAAAAACGTGGATGTGGAATCGATGTGATTCTGCAATCTGTATACGGGGTAAAAATGGGAGTTCATAATACACTTGAATCAAATGTATGAAATATGATATGTCAAGAGCTTTGTAATGTTTTGAACAACTAATAATAATAATAAAAGAAAGAAAAAAAGATTATGAGCAATGACTAAATAAACTGACTTGGTTTTTCTTTCTGTTTTCCCTTTATGTTTCTCTAACCACGGGGAAAATTAGGTCAGAAAAGATGCACAGAACATGGAATGTGGCAGAATATGCAGCAGGTATTAAATCCTAAAAACATGGCCAATTGAATTCATTGACCCATCCTTGCTATTCTTCTACAGCATCATATTAGAGATTCACCCTTCCTGATTAGGGCATGGTGATGCATAGTTGTAACCCCAGCAGGGGATTACCATTTTCTGCAACAGAAAACAGGAGGCTGAGGCAGGAAGATCAAGAATTCAAGTCCAGGTTCAACAACTTAGAGAGGCCCTAAAAAGTTTGGTGAAACCCTGATTAAGATAAATGTAGAAAGGGGCTGAGGATGTGGCTCAGTGAGAAGTGCCCCTGGATTCAATCCCTAGTACTCAGAAAAAAATAAAAATATAAAAAGTCTCCCTGCTGATTATAACTTTGATGATTTCCTCTATGTTAACTATAACCATCCAAACAGTCACAAACAAATAAATGAACAGTTTGTTCTTAGTGGACAGAATAAAATATTTGTTAACTTAAGATTGGCTTTAATTTCCCTCCTGTCTCTAGCCCCATTGATACTGACTGACCTCAGCCCCAGCCAACACACACTCTTTTTCTGTCCCCTTCTAAGTACATGCTGGCTTCATGGTCAAGCATTCTTTGATCTTATATCTGAATTTTCTTTTGTTGGTGGTATTACTGGGAATTAAACCAAAGGGCACTTTAAAACTGAGCTATATCCCCAACTTTTTCTATTGTTTTGATCTTTCATGGTTTCACTAAATTCTCCAGGCTGACCTTGAATTTGTGAGCTTCTGGCCTGCATGTCTGTGTCCCTGGGACTACTGGCATCCACTGCATCACCCAGCTTGATCTAAACTTTCTATTCTTCATCAACCCCACCCACTCCCACCTGCCAGGTGTTCCATTTGCTTCTCCCAAGGAATGTGTCAGGGTCCACTTTATGCTTTGAACATAACCCTTGCTCTCTTCCACTGTGATTTATTTTAAAACTGACTTGGTTTTTTATTTCTGTTTTCCCTTTATGTTTCTCTAACCCTGGGGAAAATTAGGTTAACCTACTTTGTGTGTTAATTCAGTTCTTAAGCCAGGTTATCTGTCCTTCAGCTCATGCTCCACAGGAACCAAGAAATACAGACTTTACGGCTGGCACTAGAAGTTCTAAAAAATATCTCTCTCAAGGCTAAAAGGGAATTATGACTCCTGACAGCACACAGCCTATGGGTAGACTTTGAGTCACTACTTTAAAACCTCTATTCACTGGCCATTGGAATCACAAGCTTCTGAGACAGGAGTCCCCTCTATTTTTCTTTTGGTAGCAAAGCAATAAAACTTTCTTTTTCTTTTTCTCAAAACCTTGTTCCCATTATTGGATCAGGACTAGGGATAAGGACCAAGATTTTGCTATCAGGTTTGGTCACCATGAAGAAAACTGAGAGTGCCCCTCCAGCCTTCTCAGGCAGGCCTGGCACTCAGAGCAACCCCACATCCACACTGAGGATGCAAGGTGCTGATTAGTCCATTGACAGCTGAGTCTGGAGAATTAGACAAATTAGTGCATTTGTCTCAGGTTGTCCTGGATGAAGGGTTAACTGTAAGTAAAGGAAAGGACTGATGGGTCTTTCCAGGAGCTGCCAAGGATACTTGGCTTCAGGGACCTCTTGTCTTCTCTTCATGAATAGTGTGGGTTTTTCTAACATGGGTCTACTCTGGAAACAGGGAAATGAATGCAATGAAATCATGCTAATATGGACATCTGGCAAGCTCCTCCTGTGTGCACACTGAGTCCCTGGAGTCTACACTTCAGGTCCCCTACAGGGGAACATCTGGTCCCTCTATCTGTGGACATCTACGGCACAATTGGTGTCAGAGTTCTGGTAAAATAGCAGTTGGGGACCTAAGAGATGTTTCCCCAGCTGGTCTTTTTCAAGGAGTCCCTTCTGTTGCCCCTGTTTGGGGGATCCACTCTGGTTGTCTCTTTGTGTTGGACTGAATGTTGCTGGCCCCTTAACACATAGACAATAGTGCATTGATCTCACCTGTAGACTCTTGGAAACAATCCTGGCTGAGTAGGCCACAAATAGGTAAAATTCTGCCTAAGAAAAAGCTGATGTTTTACTGTATCAGGCCACTGAATGATTTTCTGAATTGTTATATAATTTTGCTACTGGAATTAGTCTGTCAGAGATAGGTAAATGGAAGAAATTCTACATAAGCAGGTATCCATGCCGTTACATAAGGAGTCCAACTGGCCTAAGACTAAGTTCGTGGTATAACCCTCCTGTGTGCAAGAATAGCAAGGCACCAGAAAACTAAAGTTTGCCTAGCACTGTTTAGCCCAGTTCCAGGCAGCTATGGAACATCCCACTGTGGGTCAGAAAAACCAGAAAGATAATTTCCAGAAAAGCTGCTGGGGTTTAGAGAAGTAAGTGAAGATGACTCGGACTCTGCCCTGCCTTCAACCTCCTTTGCCCAACCTGGGGAAAGAGACATAAAAGAACATAGCAGTGGCTGTTGAAACTTCTGTATTATGACTTGAGACAGGGATGGTCTCCTTTTCAAGTTTATAGGACATTCCACTTGCTCAGGGTACACTCAGCAATGGGGAAGAGCAATTATTCCTATGAAAATATCCCATTAGCCTAAATTTACAGGAACATGGACAAGATAAACAATGGCAGAAAGAAAAATAGCTGTGGAGAAAAGCAGATGGCCAGAGTAGAGAGAAATCTCCAGCCTCACAGGCTCTGGACAAAAGCAGCAGCTAAGTTCTGGTTAAAAAGGCCAAAGGCCCTGGGCTCCCCAGGCTGCACTGCAGCCACACCACAAGCACAAGGCTCATGACCATGTGGAGATAGATAGGAGCCACTTATTGGCTTCAGAGCTAGGTCCAACCTCCAAGTTCTTGTCAACTGAGGCCTGGGAAGTTGAGGAGAGGAGGTATGGTAAAAGACAGTCCCTGGCCATGTACCTAAAGCTCTCTTTTGTTTTAATTGGGACTTAGAGTGTTTTCTGAGGCAGCTCCCCATAGCAATACCCACTTCTTTCCCATCCCTCCCCTTTTCCCCTTTGCCCTATCTAGAGTTCATCTAATCCTTCCATGCCATGCCCCTCCCCAGCACATTATGAATCAGCACAGCATCCTTAAATCAGAGAAAGCATTCGACATTTTTTGTTTTGTTTTGTTTTGTTTTGTTTTGTTTTGTGTGGGGTTTTTTTTGGGGGGGGGTGGGGATTGGCCCCAATAGATTTTTCACTGTGGCAGTCCAGCTTATAAAGCTGCAGAATGCTAGGCTAAAATTTTGGTGGCTGATATCCAAGAGACAAGAAAAACGAGTTTAGAACAGGACCCCAACCTAAAGGAGCTCTCCCAAGGAGACCATGAAAGTAGGATCCCTTGATACCTTTTTGGGAAATTCCTTCAGGAATCGACGGGACAATGCCTTTGTCTATGTTCACTTACAATTAAGAAAATAGACATTCTCCTCTCTCTGAGTGCCCACAAGCCCTAATTTCTCTTCTCAAATTCTTTTCACCTCAGATAAGTAGGAACACATCAGGACAGAGGCTAGGAAGGCTTTTTAAATTCTATTTTAACTCTAATTCTTTGAGTTTCTGCTTTTGGTCCAGTGTGCCTATGTTAATGTGTTTCCCTCATTAGACCTATTTTATCTAATTATAGAGTGTTTCTGTTGTTCTTGTTACACTCTACTTTGCTCAGTGATTAATTTACAAGATTTAGCTCTCAATCTAATAGGTTTTAAAAAGCTGCATGGCAATTGATCTTTGTTTTGTGTATGTGTATACACTAATGATTGTCATGTCTACTTTTGTTTGGTTAAAAAAAAGTTTAAAAATGATTTTTGTCTTCACTAAAAACAATGTTACTTAAAGTCCCAACAGGTATAAACAAATAAAAGTAAAGATGACTTTAAAGGTTACTGACTCACAGTTTTTGTTTTTGTTTTAAGGGGTCAAATGACTGATAAAATGGATCTATCATTTATTTTCTAGAATTTTTCTTCATCAAGGAAGAAATGGCTAATGCTGTTCAATACATTTGTCTGATATCTTGATTTTTAAAATAAGTAAACTAGATTTGACATATCTGTGATTAATCATATATATGTGTTTGTTAGAGACATATGATTAATTTACAAAGATAAAGTGCTAACAATATATAATATACCAAATACTCTTATTTTTTTAAATTTTATGGATGATATATTTGATTATTGTTTATGTTTTTATAAATAGGTAAACAGATAAAAAGTTAAAAGCTTCTAGGTATAAAAAGTACTTAGTAAAAAAAGAAATTGTTTCTAGTCTTTATGTGCTAAAGTTGAAATACATTTACATAAACAACAAGGGGGTCGAATTCAATTATAAAAGATATATGTAAGTGAAGGGTAAATTTTAAAAAGTTTGTGTGAACTAAGTTGTTTATATGTAACTAACACAATTAGTTAAACCTATTCAAGTTTTATTTCTAAAGTCAAATATTAACGTACTAACAAAAACCAAAGTTTAATATATGTAAAATGACAAAGATTTTTTAAAACATTAATTTACTCTTTTTTTAAATTTTTTAATTTGTTTCAATTAGTTATACATGACAGTAAACACATTTGTGCACTTTCATATATCATACATAGATGGGACATAATTTCTCATTTTTCTGAGTGTACATGTTGCAGAATCATATAAGTCATGTAGTCACCTATACATAAAGTAATAATGTCTGTTTCATTCTATTATCTTTCCTATCCCCACATCCCTTCCCTTTCCCTCCCATCACTTCCCTTTATCTAATCTAAGGTAACACTATTCTTAAGGTTGTGTCTGTTAAGTTTAATTCTCTAGAAAAACTAGTCTTAAAAAATTAGGGTTTGTACAACTCTGGCTAAACAGCAACTATGATTTTAGAGTACTGTACTACATTACAGAATCTAAATTTTCTTTAAAACCTAAACTTGGTTTTATATTAACTTGGTTAACTTGGTTTTATATTAACTTGGTTAATATAAAACTATCAATGTAATTGTGGTACAACTACTCTTCTTTGGATATTAAATGTGTTCATATCTTCAAAATATACAAGTCTTTAAGGTAGAAGATTTAAAAGAATATTTTATAAAGCTGGTGTTCCCAAAACTAAAGTTGTCTGAACTCGTAATTTTAGACTTATATGATAAAAAAAACTATGGGGGATTTATTTATATCATTTACAGTTCTGTAACTGAACCTAAACCTTATGTTATCTTTTATACTGGGGTAAAAATATAA